CTGTGCCAGGTCCCACCCTACATGAGAACAAGCAGCTGTCAGCAGGGCCGTCATGCTCGTGGCACAGCCACCCACAGGTCACAGGCTTGAGATGTCACCTCAGAGATCAAACCAGTGGGATGAATGAAAAATTGCTCATTAAACCACAGGGTAAGGGTGGAGACTCTAAGGCAGAGAAGGACCAAGCAGGCAGGTGCTGGATAAGTCCCAGGACCCTGGGATGAGAGCTGCTGGAAGAAGCAGGTCCCAGAGCCTGAGACAGGTAACAGGGCAGAGCACCTGGACACAGCTCGGGCAGGAGTCCCCTGCAGATGACACCAAGGCCTGAGGGGTATGGGGAGGGGTTCCTCCTTCCAGGAAAGGAAAATCACAGCCTCCATTTCTCAACTTCTGCCTAGGAAAATGATACAAATCTCAGGTATAAAAGAAATCCAGCAGCAAGTCAGAAGACATGAGTCGACTCTGGGGAGTGGGACGGGGAAACTACAGAGACAACTGCTCATGGTAATGTATAAATGCCAGACCAGGGACTCTCCCACCCTTCTAAGACACTTACAGCAGCCCCAGTGGGGTCTGAGGATCGAAGCTGAACTAAGAAGGAAAAAGTAAAATTATGGCGCACAGGGCTGTGATGGAGTCCTTTGTGAAAAGTGGCAGTGACTAGCATAGGTGGACGCACCCTGGGCTCCTTCCCACCAATCCTGTACTTCCTAGGTGAAGGCACTAAGGCTGGAGAACTCAACTGGCCTCCGGCTGGAGATTAGCAGCAAAAGACTTGGCTCTTGAATGAGGACAGTGAGACCCCAAGTCCAATGCCCTTGGCTCCACACTACACTGCAGCTGTTCCCCAAAGTGCCCAGACACCAGGTATTAAGAAGAAAAAAATTGGATTTAGAACCAATCAGACTTGGTCCAAATCCTGGTCCTACTCCTCTCTAAGGACAAGTGAAATTAATTCCTCTTGTAATCAGTTTCCTCACCTATAAATCAACATGAACACACTATAGGATCCTTAGTAGGACCAAGATAATCAATATAAACCATCTGGCATGTGAATGACGGTCAAGCAAGGGCATCAACTAAGGAGGCTTTTAGAAACCCAGAATCTATTCCTGTAGAAAGTCTGGTCAGTATGAAGCAGTCTCTTCAGCACTCCTGACCCCACTAAAGCTGTGCTCTCAATTTTAGATTACAATGTTCTCACCAGCAAAGGAATGCAAGACCCAAGAAGTTTTACGTTTTTTAAATGAAGCAACTTTGTCTGCATTAAGATTACACATTCTTCTATTTTTGAGAGGATGGAAATGCTTTAAAAATTTAACATTCAATGCAATGCAAAATTAGAGAATCAGGCTTACAACAGAGTCTGTCTCACCCCTAAATGATCAGAAGCTAAATGCTGTGCACAAGAAGCCACGACACACAAGGAAATCCACTGGGTTCTATAGATCTTGTTTTTCTGGCTGACAGGAGAAAGTCGTCCATAGACTTCCACACAGTCAGGATGCACCCAGCTGAACTCAAATGTGAGCCTGAAAACAGCCAAGTGGTGACTGGCAACTTGGAGCCTACAGCTCCTCGGCACCTGCACCTCCCTGTCCTCGGGAGGCCAAGGGCACTTTCTGTTTTGGGAGACTAGGAAAGCAGACATAATTCCAGTCTGAACCTCTTGTCACACTTCCACCTGTACAATTTCAGAACATATGGCAGTCAACTTCTAGAATGTCCCAGGGCAGCAGTACAACTGGTAATGGGAGAAACCATTATTCTGACCAAGAAAAAGTAACAGGGTCAGTCACAGATAGCTTGGTAAAGAAATTAAGGGTAGTGGCATTAGACTTCCAACACAGCCAGAAAAAGTGCATTGGAGAGAACGTCTGCATGGGAGAGAGGCATCCCTTAGCTGTGTGTGCTGTTAAGCTAACCCTCACAACAGTGACCTGCTGGGGAGAAATGAAGCAACTCAAAACTAACACTTACAGAAGCAGGGTCCTTATCCTAAAGAGACTGGTAGTTTCCTTCTTTTTGCAAAGAATAGTTTTCCAAGAACTACAGAGGGGTTGTAGAGGTGGGATTTAAAGTAAGTCAAATGAATGCTCCATAACCCTAATTGTACAAGCTGATAACCAAGTCCAACTGAGAAAAACCTGAGAATAAAACCAGAACAAAGAGCTCCCTAGGCACTGTGAGACAGGCCTCTCAGCAGTTCCATCTCCAAAAGCCCAGGAAATGAGAAAGCAGAGCACACACCACCGGAGGACACCCAGGCAACACCAGGCCTTATGGGCACCAGGCCAAGCGTACAAGATCCCACGCCTTCTCCCTTGCAGCAGTAAGTGGAAGGGCCTTTAATCTGGGCAAACTGGTAGGCAGGAAACAGAAATACTCAGGACTCCAGAGTAATATTCAAGATTTGCTTTAAATGACAAGGGATGAGGTGGTTGTAAACACAAAGGAACAAGATCAGACTTAGTAACCGTTAACGATAAACAATGGACACATTAGCTTTCACCTTACTATTCTCTTTACTTTTGAATGTTTGAAATGTCCCAGATTATTATTTTTTGTTTGTTTTCTTTTTAATTTTATTTATTTACTTATTTATTTATGTGCGTGTGTGTGTGGCCAGCTCAGCCCACCAGGGGGCGGGGCTGGCTGGCATGTGGTGCTGGGGGATTGAACCGCGGTCCCTGTGCTTTAGCTAAGCTTGTTCTAAGTAGGTGCTTTAGACCACTGAGCCATCTCACCAGCCCTGTCCCAGATTATTAAAAACCACATTCACTGTGGAAATCTAAATATCAAGGGGTTAAAAATACCAATTCTATCACCTGAGACAACTACTTTTATCATATTGGTTTATTTCCAATTTTTTCTTATTTTCAAATAGGAGATATTTCCTGCTTTCTACCCTCCTCCCAATTTGTCCTAGGTATTACTCAAATCAGTAAATATTTTTAATGATGTGATTGTTGAATAAGTACTTGTCAAAAGACAGTCTATAATCTATTTTTTTTTTCCTACAGTGAGTAAGGCTGTAGTGAACCAAGAAAGATGACATTTATTATAAATGGGTGATTTCGGGGCTGGAGAGATGGCTCAGTGGTCTAAAGCACCTACTTGGAACAAGCTTGGCAAAGCACAGGGACCGCGGTTCAATCCCCCAGCACCACATGCCAGCCAGCGGCACCCCCTGGTGGGCTGAGCTGGCCACACACACACACACACACACACACACACACACAATAAATGTTAAAAAAAAAATTCTAAAAAAAAAAATAAATAAATGGGTGATTTCAAGTGAGAGGAAAAATAGCATGATATACAACACAAAGCAAAAAGGATGGAGAGACGCTGGTAGCCAACCAGCTGCATACGTCTAAGCAATCATTAACTTTTATGTACTCCCTGTGGCAAAGGCCAAGGCAACTCCCACAGGTGTGAGGCTGCAACCTGCTCAATAAAGTGCATGCTAACCAGTAAGAATCCACCAGCTTCAGGCAGTGACTTCTGGAAATCTGCTAGACTATGGCTCAGGCCTGTAACTGGTCCTTCCCCACACACCAAGTCTTCAAAATGACTTCTGCCCCACAAAAAGAGAGAAAATTGTATGACATTCTCAGGTGGATATTATGTTGTCCCCGCACTGTTTGTTCTCTGCCAAGAAGATATGATTTTGGCCGAATGTCCTTAATGACGCCGCCTCCCACAATCAGTATCTGAATGCTGGTCAAAAAATAACAATTTTTATTTCTAAATCAAATCCATAAACTATTCTGTAGCACATCGGAAAAATTCAAACATGAACACATTCTAGCTGTGTTCCATCTGGCTTCAGACAGCTAAAAACATTAGGGACTGTGAATGAGACCAAGCATTTTTGGCCAACAGCCATCCTGGTCGGGAAGCCCTGCGATCATCAGCTCCAGGGGCTCCTGGGGACTCTGCTGAGAGACCCATGGGAGCCTCACGCCACCCACAAGGTATGCTGCTCTTTATCCTTTCTTTCCTGCAGCCAGCTTGCCTGCCACTTTGGGTTTCTTATTTCAGGCCAAACAAGTGTGGGTCCTTCCTCATCCTTCTTAAGGACTTGAGAGGAAAAGTGGCTGTGACCCAACTGAACACTGGCTCTCTGGGTTTGGGAACCGGAAGTAGGTGAGCAAGCCGTCATCGCGCAGCATGGAGCAGCACTGCCACGCGCAGTCTCCACTCTGCGCTCCATCGCGTCTTCTGCCCACCCCAAGCAGGGCCCTGTCTGTGAACTCTTCTGAAAACCTGCACTAATCACACACTTGATGACAGGCAGGACGGAAAATGCCAAGTGTAGGCACAAAGACCAGAAAGATAAATAAAAACTGTCAGCTGTGGGGGCGAGCTTAAGAGCGATTTTTTAAAAACTTCCATTATTGTTACTGGGTTGTTTTGATAGTAGCAAATTATTTTAAGAATAAGTTATTAGCAATATGCACTTTATATATTTCTGAAATTGGAAGTTCTCAAAGTATAGGTTCATCTCTGACCTACACCTACATCCTCCCACTGGATTCTTACAGAAAAGCAGGAGGAAAAAAAAATGCAACCACATATACCACATAGTTCTCCTTTCTGGCTGGACTCCCCTAATACAAATTTTTTTTTTTTTTTTTAACCAAAATTGGGACAGAAAGCTCTACAACCTTCTATCTATATATGTGGCTTGACACTTTTTCTCCTGGAAAAAAGGAAAAAAAAAATGATGATAAACACAGAACAGCTGTCTCCTGGCAAAGACGGTGTCCCAAGACACACGGCCGCACCCATGCCAGAGAAACACACCAGCTCTGTCCACCCAGCCCAGCCCGCTCTGGCTGCTGTAGATTTCCCCAAGGTACCATTGAGCTCACCCTCTGACGTGAGAGTGGACAGCAGCCATGAGCCACGGCAGCTCAGAATCTGCCACCTAACACAAAAAAGCCAACACCCACACACTCAACCGATCTCCCTTCGCAGGCAGTGGAAGTTACCTTGCAGACGGCTGCCTGGAGCACGGCATCAAAACCCCCCTCAGGGGCATCACGGTTCCGGGACACCCTCTGTTTCCGAACCTCCTCATTGAAGCTGTCGACTCTGTCTGTGAGAGGCAGCAGGTGGCGGAACCCAAAGGAGGGGACGCAATTAGGAAATAACTTGTAACTGGAGAGAAAGAAGAGAAGAGTCACTTTTCCAGCATCAACTTTAAACCTTAGCTAAGTATGCTGTGTACTCACTGAGTGCCTCGGCAGGCAGCAATAATTCCCCAGCTCTGTCACACCCTAGAACAGGCATGGTAGTGAACAATCCACAACACAGTCCCCCTTCTCTGAACACCCAGCACCAAGAATAGGCAAGACAGCTCATCCCATATAGCCAACAGCTGGAATGAAAGGTCCCCAGGAAGAGATTTCAGCAGGCTACAGAGGCTGGAGGAAGCCTTGAGGTGGGCCTTGAAGGGTGTAGGGAAGCGGTGGATGGGCACGATGGATGGCCATGTCTAGTGACGGCAGTGTGAGTCAAGCTACTCTGGGAAAACAGCTTCTCACAGCAAAGTGATAAAGGATCCTGTAAACTTTTCCTGTCTACCCACTCAGTGACCACCGAGATGTCCTGGCACATGAACAAAACATTCCTTCTCCTTCACTCATGCTGACGCTTCAATAACAAACAGCTCCTCTAAACACCACAAGAGCAATTTAGAAACTAAACATTTTCAAATAGGAAGCTGTACCTAGAAACTAAGAAAGAAGGAAGTATTGTACGTCAATAGTACACAAGTTAATTTTAAGCCTTTCTCCTAAAATGTTGGGCAATTTCCTCTTCAGTCTGCTGCAAAAACCACAGGAAGGAAACTTTATTCACGACCCCTGCAAGAAATTCACTCCCAGTGACACAGTTGTAGGAGCTTCGACCTGATGTACAACTAGTGAAATAGGAAGGGAGCCTTACTATATTGCAAACAAGTTCATGAGGGGAAAGGACAGAGGACAGATACAGAACGTGTGCAAGAGTCCTGTGGCAGGAAAGAGACCAAGGAAGGTCAGGATGCTGTACCCAAAAGGAAAACAATGAGGCCAGGATGACAGGCGGTGGGCAGGCAGACTGGCCCACATGTGCAGGGGCTGTGCCCAGGGAAAGGAAGTCTCTTTTGGAACAAAAGATGGAAACAAAATCTTGTGCACGGGAAGAGAAACAGGCTTAGCAACTGCTTAGAGGACTTGGCCTTCACTGCTGCCAAGATGGGCCTCACCAGGCAGGTCTGGGCAGCTATCCTCACAGGCAGGAAGGCAGTGCCAGGCTCTCTGTCTGCCCTGCCAGGATGCAGGCCCCACTCCATTCACTGCAGTAACAGTGCCCTCACAGCTCTGCACAGACCAACCCTCCCTTCTTCCCCACATCCACATGAAAGCTTGTGCTTGGACAGGCTGGGCTCTTTCTAAACCCATGCCTCAGGCCACCTAGACTTTCTGAGACCTCCTTGTTCTGTCATAAAGAATAGTAATAGAAATTACATTCCTTCTGGAAGAAGGAACTGAGGTGCCACCTGTAGCTATCTGACACACAGACACCAGCTAGAAGGAAGAAAACATCTGCCTCCGAGCTCCCCCACACAGCCTCTGTGCTACTCTGGTCCGTGGTTCAGGACTTCAGGTGTGTGGTCACTGTCTTGCTGGCAGGTTGATTATGAAAAGGAGAAAAAGGAAACTGAGCAATTCAGTTAAATGAGAGAGCCAGAATGCTGTGAGAAATACAGCCAAAGCTCTATACTTGTTAACACCTTCCTTTTCACTCCTACAAAAAGTAATATAGAGATACATTTTTACCATGGAAAATTAGTGTTAATTAGGAATTAGAAAAAGTGCTTGCCAAAGAGAAGCTGGGATTACACAGGGAATTTGCTAGAACCAAATCACAGGTACTTCTCACTGAGAGCAGCTTTGCCACACAGACACTGGGAACATCTTGGCTATTACTGGAATGGGATGTCACCTCTGGCCAGTTCTCTGGTTTCACCCCTGGAACTGCTCATGCCAAGGAGCTCTGAAGGTCAGGGACAGAGGCCTCGGGGCTCAGGAAAGGACTCTACCACCGTCTTATGTAAGTCCCAGGCCAGGCTGTCTACCAACAGATGAGTGCTGCAAAGAGCTGCCGAACACCAAATCACCAGAGAGAGCAAATCTCCAAGCCTTGGGTCTGGGAAAGAATCACAGACGCTCGCCACCCTTCCAGAGAAAAGCATTTCTTGGAAGAAATTATAATGCCAGGCCTGAGCATTCAAAACTTACGGTGGAAGAGTCCCAGTCAGAGAAACCAGTCCCAGAGGGAATGTTGAGGGCTCCTGGCAGCAGTAAGCTAGAAACTGCTCTGCAGAAAGCCAAGACGCTCAGGGCATGTGGCCCTCAGATGGAAAACAGCCTCTGATGGAGATGAGCTAATAAAGTTATAAACTCCATGAGAAACAAACCACCACAAAGGAATGTCAGCAAATCTGACACACACATCCATGGAACAGAGAAAACACAATGTCCCCAAGCTCTCCAAAACAGGGATGGATATTCAAGACATTCGAAAAGAGAAAGGACCACAAATCAAATGCCAGACAGGATATTATTAGAAAAACAAAACAAAAATTAGAAGGCTTAAAAAAAAAAAGTATGAAATACAGAAGAATCTGAAAAAGAACCAAATAAAATTACAAAAATAAAAAAGAGTAAGTTGGGAAGCAATTCCTTCTGCACCGCAGCCTGTTGATAACCCTGTCTCGCTGCGTGCTGCTGTCTGTCTTGACGTCACATCCTGCCGACACCTCATTACGGCATGTTCTCAGAGAAAACAAAAACACTGCCACTGATATTTAAAAATGAAATTTTAGTATATGCCTGAAACAAACTGAGGAACAAAGTGGTACACTGGAAGACACTTTCTATTATGTAGCTAAGAGAAAAATGAGAGAAATAAAAAGTATGGGAGAAAAATTAACAAAGATGAAATTCAGAATGAGAAGCGCCAGCAAACGCCCGGCAGCGTGCAGGTGAGATGGAGAGGAAGAGGAAGGAGACACACAGAAGGTGAGAACACAGGAGTGTGCTCAGGGGAAGCGAGCGGAGTCCCGGGCACTGTGTGTAAAGGGAACGCAGCACGGTCACAGGAGTGCACATCCTCATACAACTTAAAGCCTTGAGACAGAAGCACAGCATTAGAGGAACAACAGACCTCCAACCAGGCACCGAGATGCTCAAGACTATGGAACACACTTGGGAGAAAGAGGTGGAACAAGAAAAAAAACTGGAAATAATGAAGGAGGAAATCTACTATTAGCTCATTTTCAAATACTCATACATGGTCTATATTTAAACACCAGCCCAATACCTCTATCAAAGAAAAAACATTAAGAATTGGAAATAACAAATCCTGTGTCCATGAGTACCACATGATTCTTCCTAGAGGAACTTTGCCTACTAGAACAGCACTTAAACAGTGCTTGCATCTGCTGCTTAAGCTACTCTATACCCTTCTTCTTCCATGGCAGTCCTGCTACATCTTACTGCAGATGTGGCAATCCTGAAGGGATGAGCCCAGGGTTTCGATCCCTCTTTGGAAACATCTGGGACACAAGCAAGGAGGAATAAATCTCCAAAGCCCCAAGCCTACTGGCTGCCCTTCTCTCTGGTGTCCTGCACAGGGGTTAGATCATTTCCTGATGTTCCATTTCTCCAGAAACCACAGGACAGAAACATCTGACTGAATGCTCCATTGCAGCTTAGGGAGGACGTTGGTTTTCCTCTCCACATGAGCCAGAGGAAAAGAGTAGTCAGATAAAGATTCCAAGCAAAGATCTACCATGCAAAATGGGCCAGCCACAAGACAAAAAGGAAACGTGGGGAACGAGGTACAAGCCCAACTTTCCCAGACCTCCTGGATTTTTTTTTTCCTCCTGGATTTTTAAGAAAACTTGGCTAGGTGTAGTGGCACATACTTGTAATCCTAGCACTGGGGAGCTGAGACAGGAGGATCGCTGTGAGTTGGAGGCCAGACTGGTCCACATAGTAGTTCAAAGCAAGCCTGAGCTACATAATGAGACCCTGTCTCAAAAACAAAAACAAAAAAACACGAATTCTAGCTATTCTTGGTTAAATCTTGGTTGTTTTTGTTTGGTTTTTTTATGTTGGTAGCTAATACACAGTGCCATTGAAACAAAAGGGCAAACAAAGCCCATGAACAGACTGGATCAGGCACCAAAACCACTAGATCACACGCTGAGCTTGTGCTATACTGTGGGGAAGAGTATTACGTGGATGCTATGTGGCTGGATGTGAGCAGAGAACATTCAGCCTGCTCACTGTCCTACACGGTGACTCCCTATTGTACTACCAGCCTGGAGAAGAGAGATTTCAATAACTCAGACTTCATGTTTCTCTCAAAAGTCCCATTCTTCCCGAGATTCCCTGTCCTGCAAGCAGCTTTGCAGCATGCCTTGTACAGTACTCGTGGTCTGTGACTGCACCTGCTTGATGGGCACAGAGAACCTGAATAAGTGATGTGGGACAGTCATGATTATTTACACAGTCAGTGTCCCCAGCTGCTCCTTCATCTGCCACCAGCTCCCAATCTAGTATCTCTGCAGAGACACACCCTGTCTGCAGACTGGGCCCAACCACAGCCGAGGGGAAAGAAGTGGATAGAACTGCTTCTCTAGATGAATGGAAAAGAAGCTTTGGTTGTGATATCACTGTTGAATAGCAAACTCAAAAAGAAGAGAGACATTTGGCCTTAGGAGACAGGACCGAGCAGTAAGTGACCTGCCATGTCCAGGAGAAGCTAAACCGAGCAAATGATATATTTGTAATATTTTCTGGTCTTACTGACTTTCCATTGTTGGGATGTTTCCTAACCCCTGGGAAGAGCTAAGACATCTTCCCCAAGAGCAGACAAAAGGACCTGTAAGATTCAGATAAACACCTCACTCAGTGCCCAGCCTTGCTCGGACCTAGAAGTGCTGAGGCTGCTGAAGACAAGCTTCAGGGAGAGGCAGGCCTAGGGCCTTACAAACAGCTCCCTTCTCCTTGGCTACAGGAGCCCCAGGGTTGGAAGCAGCGCTGATGTCTGAATCACCACTTGCAGGAGAGCTGTCTTGGAAAGCTGCTCAGCCCTCGTCAGATGTTGCACATTGCACAAGCAAGAAAAACTCCCAGTGTTGAGCCATGCAGACTTGGGGACAGCTGCTTACAGCAGCACAGCAAGGCCTGGGGCGTGTGTGTGTGCGTGCACGTGCGCACTGTGTGAGGTGGGCTGGGATGGAACCGTTACTCTGCTCTAGGTGAAGTGTCTGGGGTATAGTGTGAAGTGGAAAGGAACACATTATTGTACTGATGAGAGTGCAGGCTCTAAAAGAAGTCTGCCTGAGTTTAACTCATAAGTAAGTTATTCTCTCTCTGCCTCAGCTTCCTCCTCCTTAAAATCTGCCTTATGAATTCTCTAAAGACCTCAAGAGGCAGTTAAGACATTTAAATGAGATAATGCACACAAAGTGCTTGGCACGCCACCTGACACCTAATAAATCTTAAATCTTGGTTATTCGTTACTAAGTGGCTATTATATATAAGTGGCCCTTATATCCCAAAGTCTCATTGCAATTGGAGGAGATAAGGCAAGCAAAAGGTTACGTTGCACAGTCCTGTCATTTAGAGAAACAACTGAAAGAACAAGAAAAGCAACCCAGCAGAGACTGCACTGAGGGCACTGGCGAACACCTGATAGACAGTCACGAGTGGCAGAGACCTGCTCACCATTTCCTCTTATTCCTGGGCATGGTCTAAACAAGCCCAGTCTCTCACTGGAATTCAGCTCTGGAGAGCAGGATGGCAGGCCAGGCCCTCCTGGGATACCTGATTCTACAGGCAGGACGACGTTGAAACTACGAGTGGAAGACAGCAAAGCCTGGAAGATGAGAAGGAACCTGAGTTTCTGCATCGCCAGTTGGAGAGATGTCCACTAGGCAGGAGATGCATCGGACTTAAGTCACCAAGAAATTAACTGCTAGCAGGTCAGGGCCAGCACACACTCAGGGATTTATTTCACTGCAGTTTTTATGAACTCCTGTTCCCTAACAATTTGTCAAATATTCTGTACTCTAGGTACTTGACTTAATGTTGGCAAAAATCTACACCTTAAAATATCTCAATTTCATGAAGGTAAATTTTAGTTATTTATATAAACAATAGGGACAAACTCTGAATTTATCTCCAAGGATCTTAGTCACTCCAAGCAAACAGAAAATGCTAGTCGCCCTGCCTGGTCCCTTCTCTGTACCCTGGGTCCAGGACTCTGTGGATATTCTTTAAGTTCTACTAATTCGAGAGAACAGTGCTGTGTAGGGTGGGCAGGAAAGTTAGTGTGCTATGGTTGTTACACCTTCATGCAACCTTGAGGCCATTCTCTTCTTCTCAGAGCCATCGTTAATCAGATTAAATAAATATAGGCCGGTCACCCCTTCTCTCTCCTTCCTTCAAGCTGTGTTCCCACTGCTCCTACCCTGAGGCACCCAACAGAAAGACAGCGGCCACTAACCCAGTACATGGATTGGTCTGGTATCTTGGTGCGGTGTAGGAGAAAGGAGAGATGTCTTTGTCAACAAATGACCCAAAACCCAACCGGAAGTTGCTGGTAAGCTTCCTCATTTCTTCGGCAAGTGCAGTGCCTAGGCTCCGAATATTTTCTAGGTCATCCTTCATGGACAGGGAGAGGTCCATCAGGTAGTACAGGTCCACAGGGTAGTCCTCCACTTGGCGGACCTGCAGCCGGAACGTCGTCTGGTCACCTGTGCCAACAGAGAGGCCATGCATATTAGACAGCCTGCAACCTGCTGGGCAGAAATGACAGATTCTGCTTCAAAGCTGCTCCACCTTCAATTTTCATTAGTGATACTATGCCTCCTAGAAAAATGTTCTTTTGGAAGTGGGGTACCTAAAGGAAACAGGCTGCTGTGGGGGATGACCTGGATTATTCTGCTCAACCACTTGTTTCATTGTTTTTTAAAGGAAGCCTTAGAGCCGCCCAAAAAACTCAACGGATTAAAGTGCCTGCAAGGAGGCGCAGGGGCCGGGGGTTCGATCCCCAGGCCTGCCATGCCAGTTCCGCCCCCGGACATACTGAAACGGCAATTGAGACTGGGTATGGCGGGGCGCACCTGTAATCCTAGCTCTTGGGAGGTTGTAAACAGATGGGTCACTACGAGTCCGATCTATTAGTGAGACCCTGAACACCCTGTAGACTCTTCTCTGAAAATACAAAAAAAAAAAAAAAGGAAGAAAGAAAGACAGAAAGTCTTGCAACCACCAGACTCCTCAATTAAGGTGTTCTGTGTTCTCAGCAGCAAAAGACCCCCAGGTAGTTGACAGCCTGAATCAGACAATCCCACAAAGGTGAAGTGTGTTGGGGGCAGCCCATCAACCACACACCAGAGAAAGACCCAGACCAGACGGGAATGGGTGTAAAATCGCCAGCAAGGAAGGCATTAACAAAAGAGAGCTTGGGCCCAGTGTGGTGGTCCTTGCCTATACTCTAAGCACTCTGGGAGTCTGGGGCAGAAGAAGAGCGAATTTGAGCCTTTCCTAAGCAACTCAGTCTCTTAAAAAGGGCTAGAGATGTAGCTCAGTGAGAAAACCCTGGGTTCAGTCCCCACTACCTGGTCAGGGTGGGGTTTGGACACAAATAAGAGAGACATGAGCAAGTAAAGGGAGACAAGTGACAAAGGCAGTTACTTAAAATACCCCAAAGAAAAAAGTAGTTAGGTCTGTGCTGTCTCACCTGCCTCTACTTGTATCTCTTCTGCCATTCACAAGATAACAGTATTTAGTTCTGGAGTGTGCTTGGCACTTGGGGATATCATAAACACAACTCATTCTTTTCAGAAATTACGAGTACTGGGCTCATGTGATAGCTCAGCAAACTAAAGCACCTGCTTAGGCAAGTGCAGTTCAATCCTGGCACCACAAGCCACACCATCACTGTTCCCAGAGTGGGCTGAGTCACAGTATGCCTATAATCCCAGCTCGGGGGAGGCTGAAAACAGGAGGATCACTATGAGTCCAAGCTGCATAGTGAAACCGTATAACAACCAAATACATTTTAAAAAAGAAAAGAAATTACATGTATCAACTGGATGTGGTGGCACACATACATTTGCAATCCTGTACCCTGACAGACTAGGGAAGCAAGATCGTAAGTTTGAGCTCAACCTGGGCACCTTAGCAATTCAGAGAAACCCTGTCTTGAAATAAAGAATAAAAAAGAGGCTGAAGCTGCAGCTCAGTGTGAAGGCCCTGGGTTCAATACTCAGTACCTCTAAAGAGAAATAAAATAAATGCATAAATATAGTAACCACAGGAAGACAGAGTATAAATTTTAGTTTTTTTAGAGAATGAAAAAAGAAAAAACAGTAATATGAGAAGAACAGAAAAAGAAAAACAGATCTGCTTACTAGCTATAAGAAAGAGAAAATGAAGGGTTAGCGAGATAGCTCAGCAGACTAAGTGCCTGTTTAGGCAAGCTCAGGGACTGGGATTCAATCCCTGGCTCTCATGCCACACTGGGCCTACCCCCGGGCACTCTGAGCCAGCCACTGAGTCTGGGCATGGTGGCACACACCTGTAATCCTGAGCTGGGGAGGCTGAAAACAGGAAGATCACTACAAGTCTGAGTTGCGCAGTGAGACCCTGTATCAAAGGGAATTAGTTCAAAGGAAGAGGATGGGAGATAGCCATGTGCAAGAGCTGTAGCCTTTGCTACCCCCGGATTTAGAGGGGCTCAAGTCAGGTCAGCTCAAATGCTGGCAGACCCACATAGGGGAAATGCTTCTTAAATCATTTCATAATTTCTACAAATGAATCACTTAGAAATTCAGGGTTCAATTCACACCACTAATTTAATCTACCCTGGACTTACTATCCTCTTCCGAACACCAATACACGTCTTGTTCATCCAGAGCAGAGCTGACCATGTTCTGTCTTCTCTATTTACAGATGCACCAGCCAGAGCGGGCTGGCCTTGATGGGAGCAACAGCTCTGCTCCTGATTGGCCACAGCCACATCTTCAAGAAGCCAATCGTTAGCCTCCAGCTGACAGCCTGGGAGAGAAGGCTTCAGGGCTCCTGCAGCACAGAGAACTAAGTCCTCTCTGCTCTTCTCCCACCGCAGACAGGCACATTTCATGAGCTAGACCAGGAAGAACCCAGTGACCAAAAGATTTTAGTTCAAGCTGCAGCTCTGTCCCTCCATTAGAGGTGTAATCTGAACCTATTTCTTTAAATGAGAAACATAAATAGCAATAGTGCCCATTGCACTGACTGAAACTGCATGTGCTTATGTGGGACAGAAGTGCTTTGTGGTGATAAGGGCTTGCACACACGAAGTATAATTATTATAATTACTATGTGTGTTACTATATTCCAGCTCTAAGCCTACCTCTGTGACTTGTTTTTGTATTATTTGAGCTGCCTCAAGACTAATGTCCTTTGAGTTGCGGGTTGGTACAAGCCTATTTTTAAAAACCATCAGCGTCTGACTCAAGCAGAAGAATGTTCAAGATTTCTTCCAGAATGAGCACTGGACTGCTGCCGTGCATCTCTGGTTCAGATCAGGCAGACAGGGCCCTTTGGATGCCAAGTTGCAATGGGGGTGGGGGAAGTGGGGGAGGGGGGATTTGGGCCAGCAGAACTGCCTTGGGCTATGCAGGCCCCACAGACCCAGAGTGGAATAAACTTGCAATCACAACTCTTCCACTCAACTCCATGAGCTTTGCAGGAGATAACTCTCTTGTTATCCCTACAGGAAATAAAAATTCCACTCAACTCCATGAGCTTTGCAAATATTTCCAATATCTGCCCGCTTTCCCCCAAAGCTTCTAGCCGCACCTTCTTCATCCAGAATCCACTTCTACCTTTCTGTGGACAATGAATTACTAACATGTGGGTGTCTCGGGCACAGGATGGGGAGCACCGGCTTGGATTCAGAGGCCAGGAAGCACCCTCAGAACAGAACCCACTCTGGGCTTAGAAACAGGAGAGCTGGGTTTCAAATCCAGCCTGGTCACCGAAGACTCAGAAGACCTCAGGCTCCTCTACACTTGCTGCTCAGTTTCTGCTTCAGTAAAAGGAGGAAGATATTAAGTAGTGCGAGACTAAATGAGATACACATATGATACATAACTCAACTCCACCAGAAGTCAATTATTAAAACAATTTCCTGTAAGGATAACAAGAGAAAATTCTGCCAGAAACTATGATTTTTTTTTTTTTTTTTTTTTTTCTGGCTCAGGCTGCCTTTAGGGCAGATCTGGTAATGCAGGGGGAGGTGGGGATCGAACCACCATATCCTATGCCTGAGTGTATTTGCATGAGCAGGCACACTTAAACAATTAAGCTAACAGACAGGCCTCCTCTGCCAGAAACTTGAGTTTGACTAGCTATAGTGCTGGACATGTTTAACTTTAAATAGTCCAGAACTAAGGCAGAGGGAAATAAGATATGATATGTATGTCCTTCTGCTGGGGGGTTATCTGCTAGGAAATGAGAAATTGTTTTCTTCCTTTTCTTTACTTTTCAATGTTGGAGGTTGAACCCAGAACCACATGCTTGCGAAGCAAACATAACCTCTGGCCTTGTCCCCAGCCCAGAAGTGAGAAATCTCCTGGTATTAAATTCTACTTGATCACCAAGAAAACATGCACACATGCATACACATACAGACACGCACACACACACATGGGCTCCACATGTTGAAAAGGAGTATTTTTCCCACTCTCCAAAAAGGGAAGGACGGAAGATTGAAGGTAGTATCATTCATGCTCAGGAGGAGGGTTTGCTGGCACTTTTATGAAACTTAGTTTTAAGTGACAGGAACCCCTGAATGGGCAATGGTAAAGCAGAGTGTTCGGTCAGCAGGTTTCAGGGAATGGACCTGGCGTGGGTGGTCAGCACCCTGACTCCCAGCAGGGGAGCCTCCATCATTAGCAGCAGGAGGGAGAAGGCCTGGGCACCTTTCCCATCCTTCCAGAACCACACCTGTTCACACACACCCCTCCTGTCACCCTTTCCAGACAGCAGCTTCCCATGCTGCCTGAAACTTTAAACCTGACCCCTCGCACAGGCCCAGTGGGGAGCACAGCCCTTCTCACCTCCACCAGCAGGGCCAGTCTGTCCCTGTCTGTGGCAGCACCAACCCAGGCCTCCCACCTGGATTTGTCATTCCCGGCTGCCTCCCTCCCAACCTAAGACCCCTGCAGGCTCACACCTCTTCTTTCTGGAGCTGTTCCATATAATCCCGGCCTCAGGCCAGCAGTGGGATCAGAGAAACAGGATAAAGCAGATTCCATGGCACAGCAGGGCCCCTGCACCTGGAAGGATGAGGCACCCACAAGAGCCCCTCTCATGCCCTCTGGTTTCTGTTTCAAAGCACCCAGCTCTGGCTACATTTTACACAGAATTTCTGCCACTGCTCAGCAATCAAGTGCAGTTTCTCCTGTTGAAATCAAGTATCAACTAGCAGTCAACCTGAAATGTATCTGTAATCTCTGCTTCTCTTTGCTCTCCCTTCAGTAAAAAGTAAAAAAGGTTAACTATTTTTAGGGACATGTATCAGATGATTTTTCTAAAGAATTTCAGCAGAAATGTTTTAAAACTAATTTTTGTAAATTTTGTAAACTACAAAGTATGTTAAACAAAGAAGTAGTTTTCAGCAGATAAAGTTCTGTTATTCCCAAGTAACTGAGTGGCTTTTGATTCCATAGAATTACCCTCCAGCGCAAGACACTGAAGGAAA